CGCAATGTGCCCAATTTTATAACAAGCATAGCATCTCTTTCCTTTACGCGGAGTTTTCTGAGGTTGCATTTTGGTGATCAACTTGCACTCACTCACAATGTATCTCACTTTATAACAAGCATGGTGTCTCTTCTCCTTTCTGTCTGTTGACTTTTTGTCACCTTTGGTGGCATCCCGCTTCTGGTCAGCCACTCCTGGATTTGAATTTAACTGTTTATTCCTGGGCTTGTCAGTTATACTCCCCTTGTTCTGCCAGCTTGATCATCTCATCCACGTCTTTTGGTGCACTCTCCTTTAGGAACAGTGGCATGTTATTTGTTCACGTATTAGTAGATCTGCCAGTCTTTCAAAACTATTTTCCCACTTGGCCATGTCAGTCCATCTTGTGACCTATTATTGTAGATGTGCCACAAACTAAAGTACAGTTTCTCCAGTATCAAATTTTACTTCTCTGAATTTCAAGCGAAAACCTTCATTGGTAAGTTCATAACATATCAGCAACGTTACTTTTAACTTGTCATAGTCCATGGCATCTTCTGACATCATGCCTGCATACACCATAGGCCTTTTCCTCTGAGAAGTTGGCTGAGACAGACTACCCAGTTGCCTTTATCCCAGTTCTGACTTTGGGCAAATCTTTCATATCACTCCAGGAAATCATCCATGTCATCTTTCTGTTCATCAAATTTGGGCAGCTTTGGTTAGCTGTCCCTAAACCCATTGTCATTCTTGGGTCCTTCTTCTTTCTGTTGGGTGATCCCAGTTTGTGTTCTTAGTCTCTCTATTTCTAGTCTCTCCTATCTCTCCTTTTCTTCTTTCTCAATTTGTATTGTTATCCCCTCTTCTCTGCCTCTCCTCTTCTTTCTCTGGTTCTTTTGTTGTTGTTCTTTAGCAAACTCTAGTAGATGTAGATCGCTATATTTCAGGTCAGGTCGCTCACTCCTCTCTATCCACTTATTCAAGTCAGTCGAAATGGTTGTGTAGTGTGCTTGTAATATTTTCACCACTACTATAACTGTGCATATATAGGTCTATTTCCCCGCTGTTTACGTCTATTTCTACCACCTCTTACCTCTGTAGCTTCCTGGCTGGTTCGCCACTGTCGGGTTTTATTGGGCCGTGATTCTTTACAGTAGGTGTATGTGACTTGTTGGCGATAAATCTCAACAATAAACAAATGGTACACAAGTCGGGTGTGTATACAAATGTTTCTTACACAGTTGAATCTAGACCCAGACTGTATTGCAATAACAAAGTAGAGAAGAATAATTTATCTTTTCAATTGGGCTTTAAAGTAACTGAAACACACTTTGTGGACTTTGACGAAAAATATAATTATTTAAATTATTTATAAATCTCAACAATAAACAAACGGTACACAAGTCGGGTGTGTATACAAATGTTTCTTACACAGTTGAATCTAGAGCTTTAAATAATTATATTTTTCGTCAAAGTCCACAAAGTGTGTTTC